TCTTCTTTTTCCCGGCTACTTTTGGCACTCAAATACATACATATTTTTTTCTTCTGCCCCATGTCTTTATTATATTTCATGTCATATTCTTCACTTTGATTTAGCAAACTTTTGAGAATAATTGTATGTTATGTACGTTAATGCTACTACAAGAGAAAATGATTGTATCTCTGTTTTCTTTCTGCTCGTACAGATGAGCTATGTTTTTATCTACCAAAGCGGACAGGGATGCATGTTACCGTTAGATCTTTTCTTAGAGACCTGTGAAATGTGTGTCGCTGTATATCTTCCAAATCTGGTTCACTTGTCTGACTACTTTTTACTTTGGAGTAAGCAAAGAGCACTGCTGGTATGCCTTAAACTCTTGTTGTGTGAGTACAGTGTCAGATTTTGTGGACTTTTATTATCTTGTGTGATTTCAGTTAGAAAATGGTTTTTTTTTTTTTGCACTTGGCAGGTTTCTTTGGTGAGACTCACTTTGGTGAATCAGGTGTAATCTGCAGCTTATTTAAATGATATTGAATGAATTAAATGAATTAAACTGGCAATAAAAGTAATATGAAGTGCCATGTCCTATACCTGACTTATTGCAGAACTAAAGCTAATATTGAGAGGTAATAAGTTTTTATTAATAAGGAAAGCCAAGTGGCTCTTAAATATTTCTTTCATGTCTCATGAAAATGTGAGTCACAAGGTTTTTGAGTCAGTGAGTTGTGTTTTGGTTTTTGTTTGGGTTTTTTTGTTTGTTTGTTTTGGGTGGGGGTGGTTTGGGTTTTTTTGGAGAAAGTTAAACTTTTGGGGCTTCTCATTATTTGAATGTTTTTGGCTGGTAATACAATGAAAAAGTAAACCAATTATAATAGAGTAATCCATTTTAATAGTTACAGTAATCCATTTTAATATGGATTGCTGTACCTGTCTTAGGATACCTGTGTTAGGATAGTAGAATTAAATCATTGTGAATCTCTTCTGGGTCGTGGCAGCTGCCTTGTATCTCATTCCCTTAAAATCTACTGAGTAGACTTTTGTGCCTTGAAATTGCAAGTGTGGTGTACATGTTATTCATCAGTCTGTACTACCATAAATGTAAAAGGATTAGAGCAGTGGCAGTTTTAGTGTTAATTCTCTTGGGTACAAATGTTAATGCTGAAGTAAGCTGGATGTTTCATATACAGCATTTGTGCAGATAGACTGGAGGTAGTCTTAAATTCTTAAATAATTGGCTCCTACTTCAAGGTTTCTAAAAGCATTTAATTGGCAGATATTTGGATGCTCTATGTGAATGTGTCTACTTCCTTATCTTTCTGATAGCTCTCTCTTTCTTCATTTACTATAAAAGTTTTAGGCAGTGGTATTTGGTTCCTGAGAGAACTTCACTTGGAATTTTGCAGGGAAGGATGCCATTACATTAAACTTCATTGTTAAAAGGCATTTGGTTAATACATTTTAGGTCTTAGAAAGTAATGAACAAGCTAATATTAAATACGGTATTATCCAATAAATTGAGCTCTAAACTTTAACTTTGCAGTATCTATTTAGTATTATTATAATGATATTGTTATACCTGTATTTAGAGAAATTCTCAGTAGTACATGCCAGTCGATCAGTCCTGCAACTCCAGAGAGTGCTCCATTCCTAAAAACTGCTGGACTAGAAAAGAATGTATACAGGAAGGGAAAAAGGGAATGTGCTACATAGGCTTCAGACAAACTATTTTCTTTTTTTTAATTATTTTTTCTTCCCTACTTCTCCTCTTTTTTAGTAGACAGGTAGATGGGTGAACCTTTCTTATCCAGTGCTTATATCCTCCCTCCCCAGGTTCCAGAACTTTTTCCGATAACAGAGGTGGGGAGAGCATTTCCAGCTTGTGCTCTTGGTCTTCAGTTACAGAGCAACAGGTGTTTTGTCTCAGAGGCACAACATATACCAGAAACTTAGATAAGCTGCTAGTTTCTGTTTAAGTGTATATTATGACTGCTGCTTTAAGGTACTTATGGCCACTTAGGGTCTTGAAATATTTCTGCTAGTAAAGGGCAACAGAGTGCCCTTCAAAATCTAAAGTTCAAGTTATTTGTCTTGGATTTTCTGTGCCTATGGTGAATGTGGATCATCTGATGTTCACAAATGTGTTTTCTTTTACTATTGCTTTAGGCCATAAGTGTCGATAAGTTTGCTTAATAAATATTTATTTATTCCTGCTTCAGGGTTCCTTGTTCTGTGAAGTCGCTATAAACTGGCCCCATAGAGCAAAACTTCATATATGTCTGCTAAATTTAATTTTCCTTCTCTTGAAGAGTTTGTATTTCTAATGTCAGCTGTAATATAGAATTCTATTTGTTAAATGGATGTAACTTTTTAAAATTGTATGTTTTTTAAATAGTTTCATATTCAAGTAAAAAGGAGTTTAATGTTGTCCATAGCTTGCAATTAAAAAGAAAACTACCTTTCCAAAGGTTTGATTGTGCCAATAGGATATCTGTTTAGCATTTTTCTGTGAATTCTTCACTGCTGATGTTAAAATAAATCAATAACACTTAGTCAAGCCTGTCTTCCCCCCTTCAAGGACATAAGCACCTCCGATTTACCCTGGGGCTCAGCCTAAGGCAAGCTGTGAATGTTTGTGTCCTGGTTTAAATATTTGTGAAATTTTAAGGTTCACAGGTGTGTAAAAAAATTAATTGGCAAGCAGTTAAGTTTTATGTTCACATCTCATCTATTGGAGCACAGTTTTGAGCAGCTCTTTATTTAGATCCTGATTCATGTAAGATTTTGCCTGGTATTTTGACTTCTCATTGAACTATGGGTGACAAAATTTAGTGAGATATGTAGGAAAAGTAAGGTTCAACTTAAGCATATATGCTGGTCAATTTGGAGTTTACTGGAAGGATGATTTCTTTGTAGTTTGGAGTAGGAAGGTGTCTGAAGAGCAGGAAACCTGTTCAGCTGAAGCTTTGAGGACAGACTTAAGTACTTAATAAGTAGTGTACTCTAGGGAAAGCTCTTAAATGATTAAATGTTGACTACCATGACATAATTTATGCTAATAAGTAGAGTGATATTAACCAGTTGTTATGTGATCTGTCAAATGCTCCTGCACTGACTAGGAGATGGCTGGTTGCAGCGGTCCTATTATATTGATTGACTCTAGTGCTGACTTACAAAGTGAGCAGTGCATTAAGGATGGTGCGTTGGATTCTTATGAGGTGTTCTATCAGAAGCATAAGTTTTTATATTGTACGTGAAATATGTAGTTTTAGGCTTTTGCACCAAAAATAGTGCAGTATTTGTTTCGACATGCTACCCATTTAGTAGCTAATTATTTTGAAATTGATTGACACAGTTTTTTATGAACTGTTGTAGTGCTTGATTACATACAGTTCTAGATTTTTTTTCAAGAAAATAAACATATTTGAAGCAAGACCTGTTTTCTAGTCTTGCTGTCAAATGTCTATAATAGGTATTTCTTCACGTTGCTTTCCAATGCTGCACATAAAAGGGTGTGACCTAGATGTGTGTGGGTTTTATTTTTTCTTTTAATGGAGTTACACAAGTTAACATAGCTTTTATTGTTGATTAATAGCTAAAAATTTTTTGGGGGGTAGGACAGGGAAGGGACTGCTAATGTTCATTCTCTTATAGAAAGAAAATCTTCAGCTCTCTTCCATCACTTGGGTGCATTCAGCTTTATGTTCTGTTCCATCATTAGTCTGTAGAAATGCTAGCATTCAGATTGTCAAAAATTGGACATAACCCAGGAGCTGAAAAGAATGTAAACTCTTGTATAATGAAATATATAAAACTTCCTTGTCAGCTGAGGCAGAATAAGTGAAATACTGTATTAATGAGGTTTTTAAGGGGTTAGATTTTAGGTTTGTTCTGTATGAACTGTTATTTCTCAAGTGTGCTATACCAAGGAAATGTAGCTTCAGAAAGCCTTCTATATTCTTGACTTCAGAACAAACAAGGAAATATCACAGAAGAATTCTTGAGACGATGGAATAATAAAGCCTAGCAGTGTATGGTGAACAGTAGAAGTATTTTACATATTACTTTGAATAGTAAATATTGTGGGCTGGCTGTTAGTGATTTGAGAGAGATCTTGGTTTACATTCATTGTACAGGCTTTCTATGAATTAATTCCAGTACAAACATAACTTCAGTGAAGTTACATCACTGATTACCTTTCATTATGAATGGACTATTTTGAGGTGGGTAGTTACAGGAAATTTTGTAACTACATAGGGGCATGTAAAAAGAACATAAAACTAGAAAGAATAAGGAGGTGTTGTCTTTGAAATGGAAGTCTAGAGTTATGAATAAAATATAACTGAAACTGTCACCAAAATGTTTGATGTTAAATTTTGTATATTAAAAAGCTACTTGCCAAGTTACTCGTAGTCTAACCCTAATAACAAACTTTATTTAAACTTTTTTGGGGTTTCAAATCTGTATTTGTGAATATATTGCTTTTACCCTACTGGTGAGAGTAAAACCATTCTTGAATGGAGATTTGCTAAAAATCTAGAAGCAGAGTTTCTTTTGCTCTGTGCTAAAATCCCACCACTCTTTCTTTCCAAACTGAGATACAGAGAAGAAGAAAATTCCACCTTTTTTTTTGTTTGTTAAATATCATGTCATTTGGGACTAGGGACTCTTGCTTTTTAAAAAAATGTATTTTTATAGAAACACATTATTACTGAGACTTGAAATTCTTATCTGCTGGTGCAGATACACAGTGAGTAGATCATTGCCGCTTCCTCTAAATATACTTCTAAGTTGTTTGAGTGGCACGGTTTTGCCCAGCTGCTTTACACTTGGGTGAAGTTTTAACGGATAAATTGGATGTCGGTAGGTTTTGGTTTTTTATTTTAACTCAAAAATAGTGACAGCATATCTTGGGGCAGGGAGTTGCTTTGCACAATAATCTTGTACGTGGGTGATTAAACTATTTGTAAATCACTTTACAGTAAGCCTTACAGTATTTTTTGTTTGTTTGCTTTAGAAGGCCATGATGTGAACTGCAGCGATTTAGCAGCTGATCATGAGTGGTTCAGTGTTTCGTTCCTGAATGAGGTAGGGATTTTGTTGGGGGGCTGGCACCTTGTGAGGATAGTGAATTTATCCACTGGCTCCTTGGTGATGGTGGTTGCTACTTCCCAGAACTTCATTTTATTTCCAAGAAAACTGTAAATGCTTCCCTATGAAGCGTGTGCATTCATAGGCACACATTCGGCCTGCGCCTAAGGTACTGGATTGTACCAATGGGTTATGTGGTGTCCTGTGACTTTTCATACAGATTTTATGCATTGTTTGTACATCTTTTTTACTACTTTTTTTTACTAAGCTTCATCTAAGGTTACATTTCACAATTGATGGCAGAAGTCTATAATAGTGACTTGGCAGAGATTTTAAACACTTGCAAATGTAACTAAACTGCTCAAAAGTGTCAACTATAGATGATTCTCTAGGGAAACTCTCAAATGAGTCATGTACAGTACTGCACAAATAGTAGACTGAGTTCTGAGGACCTTATGATTACCTCTTGTTCCCTAGGCTATCTGATGGCCAGCAAGGAAGCCTAGATGTACTAGAGATTAAAGGACTCAGCTATTGCTTCAGTACATAGTGAGTTACAAAAATGGCTAAAATTAACAGAGCCATACAAATTTGTTCTATCCGGTTTGGCCCTAGTTCAGTGAATATAATAGACAAAAAGTATCACCTCAGCCAAAAATGAATGCATTTTAGATTGAATAATGTAAAAATTACACCACTGGGGCTAACTGATCCATGTTGCTGCTGTGTAGAGCTGCTAGAACGGGGAAAGTTAGCATGCTCATGATCCTGCCTGAAGTAGGCTAGTGCAACAGGACTGCCTGCAAAGGTCACTGTCTCTATTGGAGAAGAGTTCGCATAAGTCTGCAGAACAAAAATTCAGAATTTGACAGCAGCCTTCCTTGCAGCATACCATGGGCTTTGAGTTGCTGGCACAGCAGAAGCGAGGGATGAATATAATCTGGCTGTGGTTTCTTCATATAGTGTTTAAAATTTTTCCAGCTGTTGGTTTTCCCTTCTTCACTGCACTTTGCTGCCCTCTCACTTGTGATGTTATGGAGGCATATAGGATGACTGAAATAATGTAAATTAAAAGTCTTCTCTCCTTCCCAAGGAAAGTAACATCAGTACACGTGCTTTGCGTAATATTCTTGCTTCTCTTGTTATTTTCCAGAACACTTGTTAAGCAGTATTGACATCTAAATGAAAATCGATAATTTTGTCCTACTGTAGTTTAGGAGCTAATGTACAGAAATTGATCTGTGTATTCAGATAGTCAACACAAATGGGTTGGAATTTATGAAGGAGCATAGGGATGTCAGGTTAATAATACTTGAAATATTCAGGGTTAAATAATTTACTTGAAGTTGTACATCAGTATCAAAGCACATATGTTTAGAATAAGCAAATTATTAGTGTGTTGTAATGATCAGCTATTATCGAGGATATATCCAATTCAGATGTAGAACTGGACCTGTGGAAACCTGGGCTGTTTCACAGAGGAGAGCAGCCTAAAGGTTGGTGGGATTAAACAGAAGTTGTATGAGCTAGGCAAGATAAGATAAGGTAGTTGGATGAGCATAGGGAATTGAATGGGAACTGATAAAGAAAGGGGTCTAGGAATCACTTAGGAATAAACTTGATTTTTAGAATATTTTTAATTTTGGGTGCTTGACTTAATTGGTCCAAATAGCACCTATTTGAATTACGGTGGTTTAGTGTCTTAGCAGTAGCTAATTATTGTGAGTTCAAAGTCTAAATGACTTTCAAAATATCTGCAGTATTGTTAGGCAGGGTTAAGTGGCTTCTGTGCTTTTGTTTTGGGGTGTCTTCCAGTGTAGACAGAGGGGTTGCAATAAATGTATAGACTATCTGGGATTAATGTGCACTGTAAGTAGCATAATGATTATTTCACGCTGCTTCTATAACTGTGTCTAAATTTTGTTCAGTTCCTTTCTATTTCTGTTGTAGAAAATAATGTTGCTTTTGCAGATTTTGTTGTTGGATTGCAGTTTCTGTAACATACTCTTGTTAACTAATTCAATTATTGATGGATGTAATGTGTTGCTTTGACAGAAGCTTTTGTTGTGTTTGCTTGTACAGTCTGAGACACACCATTTTCCTTTGCTTTTGAATTTTTTATATTAACTGCAAAAGTACAGAGAGAAAGAATTAGGAGTCATGGTTTATCTTGGATTATCCAAACTTGCTTTGGAACATTATTGCCAAAGGCTATTACGCTTGGTGATTATTATGTTTATGAAGTTGTTGTATTTTCTCAAACCACAATTCTTGTAAAAGGATAATTAAGTTAAAGCTTGGGCTATTCTTTGCAGATTCTGTGCCAACGCCAAAATATTTTCAAACAATATGTAGTTATAATTTCAAAGGTATCCTTTTAACTTGAAATACTAAGCAGTGTAGTAAGTTTTTAAAACCTACTACTGTCCTTCTGGTTTACTGAATATTAATTTTAAGGTGAAAGCAAGCCATTTATCTTGCACTGCCATTAGAAATCAGATGTGAAATGTGCTACTTCATATGAAGGCTTAAAGTTTATGTTCTTGCTCTAAATTAATCCTTATGATGATGACCACAGAGAAGGACTTGTGGGTGATGTGATGGTTGGAGGCCGTCTTGGGCATAGCTATCATGAAATGATAGAGTTTTCAATTCTCAGAGAGGTAAGGAGGGGGGTTAGCAGAACTGTCACCTTGGACTTCCAGAGGGCAGACTTTGTTGACAGAGTTGGAGGCTGGACATTCTTCAAGAAGGAAATCTTAACGCAGACTTTGTTGACAGAGTTCTTTGGGAGGCTGGACATTCTTCAAGAAGGAAATCTTAAAGGCACAGGAGCAGGCTGGCAGGGTAGGAGACTGGCCTGGCTGAGCAGAGAGCTTTGGCTGGGACTCGGGGGGGGAGGGGGGGGGGGGGTAGTGGTGAAAAAAAGTGTTTATGATCTTTGGAGGAAGGGGCAGCCAATTCAGGAGGACTACAAGGATGTTGTGAGGTTATGCGGGGAGAAAATTAGAAGGGCCAAAGCCCAGCTAGCACTTAATCTGGCTACTGCTGTAAAAGACAATAAAGAATGTTTCTATAAATACATTGGCAACAAAAGGAGGGCTAAAGAGAACCTCCATCTGTTACTGGATGTGGGGGGAAACATAGGACAAGGAGAAGGCTGAGGTACTTAATGCCGCCTTTGCCTCAGTCTTTCGTAGTAAGACCAGTTGTTCTCAGGGTACCCAGCCCCCTGAGCTGGAAGACAGGGACAGGGAGCAGAAAGAAGCTCCTGTAATCCAAGGGGAAATGGTTAGCACCTGCTAGACCACTTAGACACACACAAGCCTGTGGGACTGGATAGGATCAACCCAAGGGTACTGAGGGAGCTGGTGGAGGTGTTCACCAAGCCACTTTCCATCATGTATGAGCAGTCCTGGCTAAACAGGGAGGTCCAAGTTGACTGGAGGCTGAGGGGGAGACCTTATCGCCCTCTACAACTACCTGAAAGGAGGTTGTAGCCAGGTGGGGGTCAGTCTCTTCTCCCAAGGAACAAGTGATGGGACAAGAGGAAATGGCCTCAAGTTGTGCCAGGGGAGGTTTAGATTGGGTATTAGGAAAAATTTCTTCACCGCAAGGGTTGTCAAGCATTGGAAGGGGCTGCCCAGGGAAGTGGTGGAGTCCCCATCCTGGAAGTATTTAAAAGATGTGCGGATGTGGTGCTTAGGGTCATGGTTTAGTGGTGGACTTGGCAGTGTTAGGTTAATGGTTGGACTTGATGATCTTGAAGGTCTTTTCCAAGCTAAACAGTTCTGTGATCTTTTGCAGAGGTGGGGGGACACAAAATTCTTGCTATTCGCAGCTATTGTTGCCAAACACTTCAATAATCAGGCTTAGCAAATCACAAACTTCCAAAAGTTTCATGCTGTGTGTTCACGTGAACTATAATTTCATACTGAGTTGGATAATGCTGGAGCTGGAGTTCGTAAGGATGCTCGTCATCTGTAGTTGACTTTTTGAAAAATAATGGGAATGACTTCCATCAGTCAAATGAAACAGCTTAAATGTCAGGAGCTTAATCTTAACTTGTACACTTAAGTGAAGTTTTACATTCTTATAGTAAATGGTCACTAATCTTGTTCCTAAACATTTAGGAAATTTTGAAGCTGGTTTTGTGCAGAATTTTTGACACTTGTACTGCAATGTAAATGGAAGTTAGAAACAACACTGTTGGAAGGTGTGGAATGCCAACATGCTGCTTGTGTTAGTCTAAGCCTTATCAATACCATTCTTGATACTGCAACTGAAATGCTGTGCTTCTTATAAAAATCTTACTTTTCCCAACTTCTAAACAGATTTCAGTATTTGCTTTAAATTATACTTTGCACACATAACTACAGCTTTATATTAACTTACCTTTGCATAAAATACGTTGAAAGGAAGCACTTTCAGAGGCTACGGCCTGTTTTCTTTTCCATTAGGTGTTCTATAGGTTTCTGTAAAAGTTGTGTACAAGTTTATCTATTTTAGCAGATCCCTGCAATATCTCTTTACATTATAATGAAGTTGTATTTTCATGACCACTTTAAAATGGTTACAGTTTGACCTGTTGGAAAAACAGAGGACTATGATTTCTCCTTAGGCTTCATGGTCCAGCCTCCCTTTTGTTGGCACTAGTAATAGTGTGGCCTTCTGATCAGCAAGATGAGTGCAGTGGTTTGGGCTGAAGCTTGTCTGGCTAAACAGGAGATTAGACAGAGGAGGAAAGACCATGGCTTTCAGCTGCAGTCACCTTTAGATCAGCTGAAGGTAATACAAAATAGCATTCTAAGAAAGAGCACAGCAGTTAATTTAAAATATCCCGTCTCATAATGACTGCTCAATTCACAAAAGTAGAACTTCACACTACTTGACTGCTGTGCACCTATTTTCTATACATGGGAGGAAACAATATGTCCTTGTTATTATCTGAATTTGTATTATCTCAGAAACAAGGCTTGGTTTTGAAAGGGGCGTTT